GCCTATTCCCTGTGGATCAGATTTCATACCGAAGAATCAGGGAAGGGTAGTTACTAGAGAAGACAAATATTCTGAGCAGAGAGACAAACCAACAGGCAGGTGTTAAAAAACAAAAAACAGGCAGGTGTTAATTGCAGAGAGGAAGATTTAACTTGATTGTTTTCCAAATAGCTTACCAAACAAGTATTAGTGTTCTATACCTTCAATACTTATTTGTTACCTACTTTGTTGTATATTAAAATTCATAAATGTTTGTGGGTATGTGTTACTGGGTTAAGATTTTCTGATACATTGGTTTCTTACAAGCATTTGTATTTCCAGTCTAACAGTAGAGTATATTTTTCTTTATTGTTGTTATCTTCAACATTAATATGCATATTTATTATTTATTCTTTATTAAAACTTTGGTGCCATGAAGAAATTGCATTGTTATAGTAACTATTCTAATTTATTAAGCAAGCTATCCTTTTATTCATTTATCTTATCTTCATATATAATTAATTCTAAGAAAGTTGGAGTTCTCTTGGAATTCTTTTTTTTTTCTTTTTTATATCTCTTGGAATTCTTATATATAAGTCAAATTGTCAACAATAATAATAATTTAATATTTTCTTTTTTAATTAGATCTTTCATGTCTATTGTATGTTTTAGATAATCAGAATCTCAATAAAGCAATGATTGTGTTCATTAATGCCATTAAAAGCAAGACTTGATTTTTATTGACACTTATCAAATGCCAAGTACACGCTCAGAAATATAGAAGAACTGATGGCATTGTAAACTACAAGTTGGGTGTTGAACTGCAAGGTTGGTAGTTCAAAATCACCCACAGCTCTTCAGGACAAAGATGAGGCTTTCTACTCACAATCTCCAAAACCCACAGGGGCAGTTCTATCCTGTCTTCTCGAGTCATTTTGAGCTGGAATTGAGTTGATGGCAGTGAGTTTGACTGCGGGTTCAGAATCCACTATTATTATTGTTATAATTTTTCCTGAAGTTTCTGAGATTTAGAGAGGGGAAGCTATTTGACCAAAGTCAAACATCACATGTGTTGTGGCATCAGCATGCAAACCGAGGATCGTCTGATTTGGCTTGGCTTTAAGTAGAGATAATCATTAATGATTTTTTTTAATGATTATCTCTACTTACAGCCAAGCCAAATACAGGGGAGGCAGTCCAAACTTTCAGGACAATCCGATACCATGTGTGTTAGGATTGGTTTTCTACAGAATCAAAACCAGTGACTCTTGTGTGTGTAAGCATATAAAATGAGATTTCTATCAAAAATTTATATCAAAAAATGGCTCACACCATTGTAGAAGTAGGTAAATCCAGTTTGGTTCAAGATTGTGGGTCAGATGTAAGTGAAGTCCCTTCCTGACTCCTGCAGCTGCAGGGGCAGAGGATCAGGAAACAGGATGATGAAGCAGGAAGACCACAGGCTGGTGGATGCCTAGCTGAGTGAATCTGAGATTGGCTGAAGGAATCCAGGGTCCACCGTCAGCTAATGGCTCCTGGGATTGGCAGGCGATATAACAGGAGATCAAGGAATCAGTACAAGTACTGTCAGTCTATACGAAGAGTAGGCCACAACTTAAAGGACACCTTCCTTCATTGGTATAATTGTGACCAGATTACCTGCTAGGTTGCTTCATAGAAGATCCCATCACAGAGTAATCATACTACGTTAGATCATAGCATGGGTGAATCCTGGCCCTTGTAAGTTAACATAAAACTTATCGCACCTCGCATCATCTTTGTTATAACAAAAACTGGGGGGTGGGGAGTGAGTCAGATATAAATGACAACCTGTGAACCCTACACAACAAAGGCAAGGCTGAAGAACGGGACCAAGTATCAAACGGAGGGAGAGATTGTACAAAAATAGCAGGCATGGAGATTTACAGATTGCGGGTATCCTGGAAGCTGAAACTGCACATCGCAGCCATACTGAGACAAAGCAAGCAGCACTCTCAGCCAAAGCCCCTGTTCCCCTGAAACAGGCAAACAGGAATGGTTCTGCACCGAGGTCCCAATCCAGGCAGCTTGAGGCCCAAGGACCTGCAGTGCTCTCTGATCCTCCTCCTCCGTCCCACATCACGAGATTGTGGTCCAGCAGCACCAACCACAGATCCAGCTGTTGAGCTGTAGCACCACAGATTGGTGGTGCCTGCACCTTCCCTTAATCATTTGTATTAGGGGCTTGTAGACTGGCAGTGCCCACCTCTCTACCCAGCCACTGGTGCTAAGGGTCAGTATGATGCTAACTCACCCATGGACCGATGGTGTCTACTCGTTTGCCTGGTCGCCGGCACCAGCAGTTGGTGAACCGAAGGCATCTGCTCCCCACCTGCTCCCCTGACTGTCTCCCTTTGCAGGAAGTACGCAGAGAAGTGTTACCTTCTATTTCCCAGTGTCGAGGGGCCTGAGACCTGGTAGCACAGCCTCATCTGTGTCCTATTCTAGTGGACCTCTCTCTCTACTTTCTTGTCCCCCCACGCAGTCCCCGAACTTGAAACCCTTGCTCACCTGGGAACATTGGAGAGATTTTCCACATAATTCACCTGGTGACTGTCAACCCAGGCCCCCTCCCCCAACAAACTGACCACTGGCACACTGACAATGAGTGACCATTGAGAACGTATCCAGCACCCAGGCCCAGGTGACCGGCCACAGACACCTGGTAGTATCACCTCACTGACACTACCAGCTACATCCGCAACAGCTCACAGGAGATCTGCACCCACACACCCAGCTCACCCACAGAGACATGTGGTAAGATGACTCACATGGCTAGACTAGTGATCAGAACAGGACTCAAGTCACACACAATGCAGTAGACCAGGATGTAGCAAAAACATATAATAAATACATACATATAGTAAGATTTTAATGCCTCAAAGGGAATAAAACTCAAAAAAGCCCCCAAACCTCACTGCCATGGAGTAAGTTCCAACTTGTAGCCGCCCAATGGGACAGAGCAGAATTGCCTCTGTGAATTTCCAATGGAGTCAATTTTTATAGGAGCATAAAGCCTAAATTTATGCCCCCTCCCCGCCCCTCACCAGGTAACTGGTGAGTTTGAACTACTGACCTTGCATTTAGCAGCCCCAAATTCAACCCAACACACCACCAGGGCTCCTTCAAAGACAACAGACAATATTGTAACAAGTAGAGAAGCAGGTATTGATGGCCTTAGCAAGGGACTAAAAGGACCTGTTTCCACAAGCTGACCAAGCACTGGAAGCACACTCCCTTGTCTGTGCCAGGACATTTGAAAGACAGCTACTTGGTGAACTGACTGAAAACGATCCATATTTGTGTCCATTCCAAGGAAAGATGACCCAATAAAACGGTCCAATTACAGAGCAAGATCACTGATATCACATGCCATTAAAACTTTGCAGAAGATCATCCAACAATGTTGACAGGGCGCTGCCAGATTTTCAAGGTGTATTCAGAAGAGGACGTGGAAAAAGCGATATCATTGCTGATGCCAGGTCAGCAGAGAGGGAACCAAGGAATACCAGAGAGATGTGTGCTTGCCGGTGCCCAGGCATTTAACGGTGCAGGTCATAACAAATGGTGAATAACCTTGAGAATAACGGGAATTCCAGAACTGCAATGCTTGAGGCTCGAACAGATGACATAAACACCAAAGCCAACTGAAATGCAGTTTAACTCAATAAATAGGACCCCCTAAAAATTAAATATACACCACCAGCTGAAGTCTCTCCAAGTGTGAAAAGAGAACCCACAGACTGGAACATTTTTTTTAGCTAAGGCATATCCAACAAGTATTTAATCTCTGAAATGTATAGAAAGTTTCAATATGTCAACAACAAACACACAAACACGTCAATCAACAGAGGAACAAAGGGTATTAACAAACAATCCATGAAAGAAGCTATTTAGACATTTGAAAATCTCATGAAGAAAAGTTATCAATCATTACTCGTTAAAAACCAAACATATTGCCATTGAATCAATTTTGACCTGTAACAACTCTGCAGGGCAGAGTAGAGCGCCCCTCATTGGTTTCCAAGGCTGTACATCTTTATGGGAGCAAAAATCCTCCCTTCTCCCCCTTACAGTGGCTGATGGGTTTGAGCAGCTGACCTTGCAGGTAGCAGCCCTACATGTAATCCACGGTACCACCAGGGTGCCTCATTACTCAGGGGAGAGATGCAAATCAAAACTACATTAGCTTACCCAGAGAGTACTGACACTAATTAAAAAGCAAACAAACAACAACACCAAAAATCAGCAACAACAAAACCTATGTCGGTGAGGTTGTGGGGAGAGTGGGAGTTTTTCACCCGTCAATTATCCATATCACTAAAATTTTATTAAACGCATTGCATAATATTTCTGAGATTCAATTTCAAAAGGGAGCTGTAGTACTCTGCACAGCTATGCTCTTAGGATGAAGAGAATTGGTGCCTGTATCTCCAAGGTTCTCTTATAAAACACATGGAGAGAAAATCATATGCAATGGTTAAAGCACGTGCCAAATAATTTTAATTTCATCCTACCTATACAAGGACTCATGTATGCAAAAATTGGCCAACTGCATGCAAACTTGCCATCTTCTTGGCATTGCAACATATTTTTACATTACTAGCTAGTGTAGCTTTTTTTTTTTAATGAAGAATGCCTGTACTAATAGAGACAGGTCTGTCTTGCCATATCATCTTCTAAATAGTTTAACATAATAGCTGTATGGTTAGCTGGAGTTATAAACATCTATGCATTTATTTTTAGGCTAATGGGGGAACAGATTAAATATGCAAGGAGAGACCAATTGAAGTGTGCCAAAGATACAGTAGAGTAGTCTAGGTTAGACTTTGGCACATCCTGTGAGAACCAGAGGCAGAGTAAAATCTCAGAGTAGTCTACTGGCTTCTTTCACATACAAAACAAGCAGGATATGCCTGGATTGATTGCACCATCCGTGTATGTTGCTGTGATGTAGGAATCAGTGATTTCCGGTCAGAGGGAAATTTACATTCCGTTTATTAGTTTCTCTAGTTTTACTCAAGGTAAAAGAACACATTTACCTGTTGCTGTTTTGTTGTCTGGATTGAGGAGGGTGCACGGTTGAACACAGTGAACTTGACACTCAGTTCTGGCTCGCTGGTTTTGACTGTAGGCAAATGCTTTACCACCACGCTACAAAGGACAAAGGACAAGGATCCTTCCCTGTAATAAAAGAAAGAGAAAACAAGATCGTAAAATTGTAATAAAAGACATAAAGGATCAGGCTAAAACCTACCAAATGCAAAATGAAACCCATGGCCTTTGAGTCAATGCCAACTCACAGAGACCCTAGGGGACAGGGTAGAACTGCCCCTGGGAGCTTCTGAGATTGTAACTGTTTTTTTATGGAAGTAGAAAGCCCCTTCTTTCCCAAGAAGAGGCTGGTGGTTTTGAACTTCAGACCTTTCGTATAGCAGTCCAACAGGTAACCACCAGGGCTCTCAGAGAAAATGTGAACATCTTTCTCCAGGCCAAATTGGGGTCAGAGCTCACAACAGGCCACCCTTCAATTGCAGTAAATGCCCTCCAAGATCCCGTGGCTCTCGTGGCAAAGGCATGTTTGAACCACAGCTTCAGCAGCTGTACCAGTGTTACCTACCTGATCGGTTAACATTAGTTTAGAAAAATTTGTACAATTATGTTTGTTTCATTGATATTTAAATGGTCTGTTAGTAGTTGAAAATGTCTACATAGAATAATTATTACAGGGTATTTAGCAATGAGTGCTACTGTTGTGGACTGAACCACCTAGTGGCACCAGAGTAATACAAAGGGTGGCAATCTGTTTCCATTATCTGATGGCCATGAATGTCATGTGGAATAGTTCTGCTCAGAAACACATGGGGCCACCGTGAGTCAGGGTCAGTTCAACCTCAGCCAACAGCAACAACAAGAACATGCTACGGACAACCGGGGGAGAGATGGGTTACAGAAGGCGGCAGATTGCAATTTTCAAAGATAGTCATAATACAGTCTCCCAGACTGTGGCTTTGATTCTCCTCTCATTAAAAACCAGAACAGACTCACGACAATAGCAGAAGTAAAGCGTGGCGACCTCTGAGAGAGGCCGTAGCAGGTCAAGAGCACTCACCATGAACCTAAAGGAGTCTAACTTCCTAGAAGCCGCTATTGTGGGAGGACCACAAACTGGCTTAAAGGGAGAAGCTTGGATGCTACATGAAGAGAGACACGTGTGTGGCCAGTCCCCATGCGTGCTATGTCGAGCTACTCTCTGACTCAAACCACAGCCCACGCCAGAACTGCTCAGCTGAACCCTTTCAAATGCCTGAGTCCCTGGAATATTAAGAAGTAATAAAGTGGCCCTTATCATTTGAAACAACTGTTTTGAAGCAGTTTGTTATATAACAATAAATAACCGGAACATCGTTAATCAGTGTCCCTTCTAAGTACATGAAAAGTTTTCTTAATGTTGTGTATAGATTACACAACCCCCCAATTTTTTTTTCTTGGCTTTTAGGTATGTTCCTGGGGTTGTTTGAGGGCATTGATTCAGAAAATTGCTTTGGATAGACGGCATAGCTCTAGTTTCTAAGATATGGTGTTCCACTTTATTTTCCGTTATTGTTAAACTAATTTACTAACTTATTATGCTAGTTCTAAATATGAGAAGAATCCTGATGCATAAATTACAGATAAGACAAAAAAGGTGCACCAAACCATGAGGACAAAGTGGCCACGTGGAAGAATGCATGAAAAGAGAGAGTTATAGGGCTGGCCCCAACCAGACACGAACTGTCCGCACCCCCCACCCATCCCCTACAGGTTGGGGAGAGGGGCCAGCATGCCATACCCACACCCACACAGAAGCAGATCAGGAATGAAGAAGAGAAAGAGAGAGCCGGAAAGGACCCCACGCTGGCACACCAGGCCCAGAGGATGAAGTCCCTGCGGGGAGCTAATGGGAAACAGATGGGACTGGGGGGCCCACAACAGCTCGTGTCACATTGTCCCCTTTCTGGAGCAGACTGCGACAAAGGACAATTCTGGGGTCACACGGTGGGGAGGTAGTGCGGTTTGAACCTCCCACAGCGGGGTGAACCAGGAAGGGAACATACCAGACCAGCAGATGGAGCAAAGCAAAGCTCCGAAGCCCCTGGGGAGCCCCCAAAAGGGACCCCAGGCCGGGAGAGGCAGCTCCTGGACAGTCATGAAGGCCAGCGAACAGACGTGGGATTTTTGTCTATTTCTTCTCGTTTTGTTTTTTCTTTTTCTTCTTGCTTCTTCTCCTTTTCTCTTTTCAATCTTGTTATTTCTATTTTTAATCAGTTTGGATGATGTCCTAGTCGGTGTGCCTACCAGTATAAGATAGGCATGGGAAGCGTACCGGGGAGAAAGCAGTCCTGGGGAGACCTGGGGCTTGAGGGTGGTGGGGGAAGGGGCGCTGAATAGGCACAGACAGGGGAATAATTAGTTATTAGAGTCAATAATAGGGATGGAGGAGGGAGGGTGTTGGAGAAACAGCAAATGAGCAAAGAGGAAGTATCAAGAGGCAGGAATAAGGAAGAAGTGCGGGTGGGGCAGGAGGAAGGTAAAAGGAAACAGAGAAGGACCTAGGAAGCGAAGCAATGGTAGCGGTATAAACACAGCGGTGCACACATGGAAATGCACTAATCCACAGAAATAGAGGCATTGGAATGTACATATATTTATGCGGCAATACACTGAGGTAGGGGATGGACTTCAGGCCTCTGCTCATACCCTCCCTCAATACAAGAACACTTTGTTCTAACAAATCAGCAGTCTGAGATATTCACTCTCCCAACACAATCACTGAAGACAAAACGGGTGCATAAACAAATGTGGTGAAGAAAGCGGATGGTGCACGGCTTTAAAAGATATAGCATCTGGGGTCTTTAAGGCTTGAAGTTACATAAGCCGCCATTCAGCAGTGAAGCAACAAGTCTACACGGAAGAAGCACACCACCGGTGCGACCATGAGGAGCCATAGGGACCGGGTAATAGGCATCAGCAGACACATAACAAACAAAAACATATTGTTGAGAACGAGGGGGCTGGAGTGGAGATCCAAAGCCCATTTGTAGATAGTGGAACTATTCCCCACAGGGAGGGGATGAGTCACCAGAGCACAGTAAAGCATCGAAGAAACACACTATATCCCTCTGGTTTCTTGAGGCTTCCTTACCCCCCACTAGCATGACCCCAGTGCTGCTTCTCAATTCACACTAGACCCAAACAGGTACACAGGTATAGATAAAAGATGGGTGCTCACGACACACAGAATCCAGAAACAGGAGTGGGGATAAGGATACCAGAAGGGTGGAGGGAAGAGGGGAGAGGAAGGAAGAAAGGGGGAACCGATCATAATGATTGATACATAACCATACACACCTCTCCAGGGGGAAGAACAACAGAAAACATGGAGGAAGGGAGACAGTGGTATGAGATATGAAAATGGCAACAATTTATAATCTATCAAGGGCCTGTGAGGAGGGGGGAGGGAAAGTGGGGAAAAAGAATAATTAATGTACAATTTATCAAGGGTTCATGAGGGAGGGAGGGAGGATGGGGAAGGGGGGGAATGAAGAGCTGATATCAAGGACTCAAGTAGAAAGAAAATTTTTTGAAAATGATGATGGCAACATATGTACAAGTGTGCTAGACTCAATGGATGAATGTATGGATAGTGATGAGAGCTGTAAAAACCCCCGATAAAAGCATGTAATTAGAAAATAATAAATAGACAAGAAAGGTAAGAAATATTTGAAAAATAATAAGAGATTAAGGGACTTCCCAGGGAAAAAGATGGGACTTTCTACTCCCATAAATAGGTATAGTCTCAGAGACTCGCAGGGACAGTTCTGCCCTGTCCTGAAATGTTGCTATGAGTCAGAGTGTATTCCAAGGCAGTGAGTTCGAGTGGTATACGGACCCGTGGTGGCTAGTTGGCTATTCATTGAACTGCCAAACGTAAGATCAGTGGCTGGAACCCACCAGTTATTCTGTAGCCTTTAAAAGATTGAAAAGTTTGGAAACCCAAAGGGGCAGGTCTTCTCTGTCTTATAGGATCATTGAGGTAGAATTGAACAGATGGCAGCAGGTTATACTTTTTGGTCTGGGAGGCGGTGCAATATATACAGAGACTCAAAGCTGTGTACTGCAAAGCCGGAGTCATCCAGCTTTGATGCTGTCCACTACTGAGACCAGCTTCTGCCCTTTACAACTTCCATAGGCCACACCAAAAAGATTTGATCTGGAAGACCTTCTAAGTGAGCCAGGCTTTCTCTCAAACTCACCTATAGCATATTTGTGGAACTGACATATTCCCTTGGGTTTAAGGCTGAAATGCCCTAGTGCAAGAAGCAGCAGCTGACTGCTATCGCAAGGTTATGGCACTGGTGGCTGTTGGACTTTGGTTCAGATTCTGTGCTTTGAGAGTACCCAATGAATGGTGGCCTGGGACTGCCATATATTTATCATTTTAATGCCCTCGTTGCTCTCTTATGGCCTGTATTAATCTTGAGGGCATGGCTTTGCATTTGGGAAATAGTGTTATTAAAAATTTTGCCCTACCACAACTCCCCATTGCTGTGTAAACAATGTATAGTTTCTTGAAAGTTTAATCTGTGCACATCAATAATTTATATATTGCAGCCTGAAGCTGGCCTAAAATTATATAATTTCCTTTTCTTAGCAGTGTTTTATATTCTATACCATTGGCTAAATTAATGATGCTATCAATAGAATTACCTTATGTTCTCTGTCATAAAATGATAATGATGTCTCTAAAATGAGTCAGAGACATATATAAACCAAAGATATATGACTGGATTTGGGGCTCATACTTAATTCTAATCACAATTTAAGAACAATTAGTTCTTATGACATCACCCTGCTTGATGCTTGCCCTCATGAAGAGATCACTAATCGTATGGGTGCTACAACAAAGAGTGGTGAAGAAACAAGATGGTGCCCAACTATCACAAAGGCTGGTATCCGAGGTCTTCAAGGCTTGGCTTCAAAATTTCAGCCATCCAAATGAGGTATCAACTAAGTCCACATGGAAGAAGCACACCAGCATGTGTGACCCAAGGAGTATGAATAATAAAAGCCCAAGACAGAAGGGAACGGTACCAGAGTTTAAATTCCGAACATGCTATTTGCAGAAGGCTATGGATGACAGT